GTGTGTGTGTGTGTGTGTGTGTGTGTGTGTGTGTGTGTGTCTGTGTGTGAGTCAGAGCGTGTGTTTGGAGTGTGGTCACTTGTTTTGATAGATAAAGAGGTCCAGTAAAGGCCAGGACCGCTCCCCTGTTTGTCTCTGAGGAATAGACTATGAGGGAATCACACTCAAACACACACTTGTAGGATTCTGGGTTCAGTCTCTTGCAGTCCTTTCCTGCACAAGTGAAGAATAAACATGTTCATCCATAAATGTTTGTGCATGTGGCTGTGCAGGGTTTGTGTGTCTGTGTGTTCCCACTTCATTTGAAGGCCAATTCTTCCTGTCTGTCACTGTCCTTGGTGCTGAAACATGCAGCCCAGAGAGAACCTGAGCAGCATGACCGGAATACCTTAAACAGCTCACACGGGACACACTGTGCTGTTGTGTCTTTTGCCTAGTGTGAACTCCGTTTGTCAATTTATGTTTCTATTATTTGTTTTGTTCTTTTATTCCATCGCCTCCCCCGTTTTTTCGTGACACACACACACACACACACACAGAGATCAGAATGTAGGCTGTGTCCTGATGAAGAGTCAGAGAGCTGTGATTTGTCATCAGCCTCCACATGAAGACCTTCATCAGAGGACAGACCCATCACTTACACTCTGATTACACAGACCGAGGGGGCCAGGGATGTGCATGCTTATGTGGTCTTGTATTTTATGAGCTGGAAGCAGTGTTGTGCATCAGCGGATGCTCTTATTATCTGTGAACTTTGAACCAAACAAGGCTGTTTTTAACTCGTGAACTTGAACTGWATGTCGTTTACTCCGAGGACATGAAACAGTGTATATTTTGAAAACTAAAAGCCGCTTTAGATCGAGAGTCTTTTAGAATAAAAAAGTGGTTAATTTGTGCAGAAGAACATTTGCAACATTACCCTGGAAATGGAAGGGAAGGCTGTTAAACATGTGATAAAATACACATTTACCTTCCTCTCTTTAAATATATAATCTATTGATTTTAGGCATCAGGGTGCAGGAACAGAAAGAAGAACTGGAAAAGTCAGTTAGCTGTGGTGGCCATCTTGGTTTTGATTGAGTCTAAATGCTTATTAGCTGTAGTTTTGCATCTTTTGATAACTTTTTGAGCCTTTCAATAAATCCATATAGTCACTCGAGATATTTTGCTAAAATATAGATATAGTAGTATCAGAAAATCATGATAAAGTTATAGAGAAAATCATTGTTTATGTCAAAAATATTGTTGTTTCTGTCAGTATCTGTAAAATTGACCAAGTTTTGGCCATTTTTGCCCGTTGGCTTCATTTGAATTTGAATTATAACCAAAATGTATTTTTATAAATTACAAAACCACATCACTGAGTGAAAGAACATTTATTTTGTCAGTCACAAAGAAAACTCGATTGGATTTTGTCGAATTTAAATTAGAAGCGTCAGAATGTTTCACGCTTTTTACCTTAACTTATACATTTTTTTGTACGTGTAGTAGCACCTACCAGCTACCAAATTCATTTTACCTTTGTTTTATTGCATTTTTCCCCTTTATGAAAATGCTTTCAGGGTATTCCGGTGGCTGTAATCAAATACAAGCCAGCCTTTGATGCATTTTTCATGAAACAAAAGACAGCAGGGCTGCAGTAGTTAAATGAAAATATAGCATGAGTGTCCCATTGTCTCACATTAGGGTTTCCTGTTAATAGCCATTTTGGAAGTTGCTTTCCCTGTCCCCTTACAACCCGCTCACACTGTTTTTTATGCTTATTATGCGCACTACAAAGGAAGTTTACCCCTCTAAAAAAGGTGGAAAAGCAGAGGTGTGTGGTTTGATGAAGGGTTGGAAAAGAACCCCCTGCTGGTTGAAAGTAAAGTCCGCGTGTGCACGTGAGCACCACCACTCCTTTTACATAACAGATGATTGAGCCCAGCCTGTGCTTGTGTTCGTCCTGAGGGACCGGCTTTTGTTTTGATTGAAGCCGCTTTGAGRTGAGTACGACTGCGGCGCGTGCGTGCTATCGTCCGTCTGGCGGGCTCCCTACGGGGGGGCCCCTCCTTCTTTGTGATTCTCCCTGTACACCATCAACACCTCATCTGTTCACTGCTGCACATTTTCTCAATTAGCAGGAGCGGGTGGAAAGAAACAGGCATGTTTAGCGCTCGCACCTTCATCACTCGTGCCTTTATCTCGTTCTGTGTCTGAGGTTATTTGATTTTAACAGACATCGACCCCCTTTTTTCCCCCACTCCAGCTCTCCCTCCTCTTTGCTCCTTCAGCTCAGCGAAGGATAGAAAGCTGTGAGGAGAGAAATCATGGAGGCAGGCACGGATCATTAGCTATATTTGTCCCCACATCCTGCTGCAGATGATAGATCTAGCTAATTACCCCATGTTGCCAAGCCTATCGCACACGACACGCGGCCGTCGTTATGGCGGAAATCAGCRTTCGCTTTGCCGCGTGCCGCATAGCTGATGCTATATGACTATTCATGAGCCTGGAGTCAAAGGGAAAGGAGGAAATTTCAGATCCTGTCATGGCTGTGCGCGAACGTGATTGTTCTGGAAATGATTTTAATGATGCATGCTCTCCATCTTCTTCCTCCCTCTGTGTAGAAAATGAGTGTGGAGGAGACGTGGTGAGCCGGTTCCTCTCCAGCTGAACGTCAGTGCGTCACGGTGGCAGAAGAAGTCGGAGCCAAAGAGCTGTCTGAAGTCCAGAACATTTCAGGTAGAGGTTCCTGCCTGCTCACCWGACCCACTGCTCAGACACAATCATACACTCCTGATTCAGTTTCCAATAGTTTTTCTCCTCACGTTTGATTCCCCAAGACATTTGCAGGCAGGTCAACAGGACTTGTTTATTATAGAGTTGTAAAATAACTAAGTACAAATACTTCTTTACTGTACTTAAGTAGGATTTTTGGGTATCTGTACTTTGCTTGAGTAATTATATTTCAGCCTACGTTTTACGTATACTACTTACATTTTTAAAAAAGACAAGAAGTAGAAAGTTGTTACTTTTATTTCCTTTTTGCTTGTTTTCATTCCAGCTTGTTATTGTAAAAAATGAAAACTA